CTATGGGTGTCCTATTGAGGAATTTGGAGCCTGATCCCACAGTATGTAGATCATAACCAACTTTTTCTTCTATCAGATGCCATGTCTCTGATTTAATATCAAGCTCCTTGATCCATTTTGAGTTAACTTTTGTGCATGGCGAGAGAAGAACTCCCATTTTTGACCCATGAATTAAATTAGCAAAGGATGGATTAACAGAAGAAAAGGCACATCATTTTTATGAATATTTACATGTACAGAAGTTCACAAAAAGGAAGTAAAACTCAAAACTGTGGTCAGACTTAGGGGCTTAAATACCTTTTAACATAAGAAAGAGGATTTGCACTTCAAGGGATGATAAATTATGGAGAAGTTACTAGGAAATAAAATTCACATGGGGGAACTGATGGGAGATAAAAGCTGTTTCAGTAAGATTTGTTTTTACAAACTGATTCAGTGTTGACTTCCCCCCTTTAGTGATGAATCACTCTTCTCTCCTTGGTACAGGGGAAGGGGGACTGTCCTCAAAGGGAAATTTGTGTCCTGAGTCAAATAAGGAAAGGGCATAGAACTCTTCCTGCAGCTATTGATTCTCATTTGCCTTTAGTTCAGAATAATCCTTATGCCAAGTGGCAATATTTTTTGAGTGGCAAATTCTTCAAGTCATATTCTTTGACTCTTCTCCAATAGTTAAAGCAAAAAATGAATAAAAGGGAAGGTAATATGAGAGTAGGCAAGACTTCCTGTTGAACCCATTTGAGATGATCTTTGGTGCTTCCTTGGAATCATAGTGGGGCTAGGTGGGTGAAGATGATGAGGTTGGGGAAAAGATCCTGCAAGAGGAGTTGATAGAGAAAGCCTATAAACTTTATCTCCATTTAGAAGACCTAATTCACAAGGCTGGATGAAATCTGGATGCAGCTAATCAGGAAAAGGGAAGAGAGCAAATGAAACCAAGATGTCAAGGGAGGTGGACCAATATTGGGATCTATAGCTCATCATTCCAGAAGAAAGTAATCTGGATTTATAAACTAACAGATCAGTAGGACTAAGTGTACCTCAGTGGGGGTTGGTAAACAAAGGCTAAAATTTCATCTAAGTTGTGAGTCAGGAATTTTGAGTTCTGGGTGCACCATGGGGGAATGGCTCCTCACTCATCTCAGATACCAGGTTAACCGCCATTGCTCACTATCTTCAATTTTTCCTTTCGATTGTATTTCCCCCATATTTAAGAAAAAAATTGCTTTTCTTTGACCTTATTTCCTTCTCTAGCTACTTCCTTCACCATACCTCTTTACACTCTGCAAACTCTTCTCCAAAAAGAGTTGTTTTGAGCTGCTATCTCCAATTCCTCATCTTCCTATTCACTTCTACAATCCACTCCAACTAGGCCACTGTTCCAGTCACTCCAACAATACTTACACTTTTTTACTAACCCCAACACAAAATTTTGTCCGTATATGTACTTATATTATTCGACATCTCAGTAGGAGTTGATACATTTGAGTCCTCTCTTGAAGCACTCTCATAGTTTGATTTCTGTCATTGGTCACATTTACCTGATATTGGAGGTTTGAGGGAATTTAGTCTGCATCAACATGAATGACAAAACTCTTCCCCTCCTCTTTATACACATTTTTTGTATAAAAATGACTAGCAGAGGACCAATATTGAGTTCCTTTTTGAATACACATCAACAGCATAAAGGGAGATGGTCAAATATAATTTCATGCTATCCTTGAATATCTATGATTATTAACGAATGCTCATTATGTACCAGACATCATTCTAATCACTTTATATGTGTTGACTAAAGTAGAACTCACTATAACTTTGCAAGCAAAGGGTAATGGTACTACTATTATCCCATTTTCCAGTTGGGGAGACTGGCAAACATAGTCAGCAAGTGAAGAACAGGCTGAAAAATCCAGGTAGCCTGACTGCAAAGTTCACACTGTTAACCTCTATGCTATGGTATGAGAGGGGTATCAAGAGGACTATAAAAGGGCTGGGGATGTGGTTCAAGCGGTAGCGCGCTCGCCTGGCATGCGTGCGGCCCGGGTTCAATCCTCAGCACCACATACCAACAAAGATGTTGTGTCCGCCGAGAACTAAAAAATAAATATTAAAATTCTCTCTCTCTCTCCTCTCTCTCTCTTAAAAAAAAAAAAAGAGGACTATAAAACCACCAGGCTTACCCATCACATGTTACCCAGTTCCAGGTCAGAAAGTCAATTACTCACCCAAAAGACTTGCTGGCAGATGACTTTTCAAAATTAAAATTTTATTAATTTAAAAATCCAGAAATACAGTGACTACATAAATAAGTACCATATTCAGGTACATGTCCTGTGAGAAGAGTGTAAGGGTAATACTGTTATGTTACTCTTTACTTGTTTACATGAGTTAACTAGAAAATGGCTACAACTGCAAGATGGTGCTTATGGTCTTTGTTGTTCCAAGGGTTTATGATACAAATAAATACACAAGAACCACATCCATTCTTCTCTACTAACTACAGCTGGCCTCTTTTCTCTATGTCCTACTCCCTACACAACACCAAATACTGGGGTTTCTACGTCGACTTAACACACCTCCCAGCTCAGGCTTCCCACAGCACTTTGGAAAGGTGTGTCCCAGCACTGGGAGCCTATCTAGGGAAGCTCTCTGGGTGTTCCCTTAAGGCTGAGCTTTCAGAGAATATCTGGGTGGGAAGGCTGTAGGGGGAATCATCTAGAAGGGGAATCACTACTTTTCTTTACGATCTGGTTACTGGCCTCCATGCTATCAAAACACTGCCACCTCTGAGACAGACAATGGCTGCCTAACCACCCCTTCCCCCACCAGACACACACAATATTGTGTGGAGCATTTCAGCCCAGGATGCCCTACTTCCCATTCTAAGGGGAATGTGTGTGATGGGCTTGGTAAGGGCTTGTTCTATGAAGTCCTGGTCACAGGGCCCTTGCATCTCTTATGAGGACTGACTGTTATACCAGGATGCCATCAAGACTGGACCTTTTATGTTTTACCCTACCAGTGTCAAAACACTAAGGAAAACATATTATCTCTCCTACGGCCATGGAATAGGAAATGATGGGATTTCTTGGTCTTTAATATTTCATTCATGTTCCTTAGAGGAGACAAATCCAGAGGGACAGCTTGAGATCCTTGCTGTGAAAAATTTACGTTTCCCAAAGAGATGATTTCTAAAGCTGGATCTCCGAATGGATAATTTATGTTCTGGTATTGGACTGCAAATAGACATTTTAGGAGTAGCCTTCCCTAGAATCCTCAATTCAAATTCACTCTCCTTAGTAAATAAGGCAAGGATGGTAGGAGGGTTTAATCTAAAGATCTTTATCAGAATTCTCAGCTCCCCAAATGCACAATAACTCAACTCTCTTAACTGAAGAGCCAACATTCAGAAACTCATGAGGGTTAAGCCTCTTTGCAAAGTAAAAAATAAACTCCTGTAACTTCCCTTTTAAGGAGCTTCTACAACTTAATAACTCCACCTCAATTTTCTGGCTAGACAACTATGGCCTTAAGAAAATTAGTATCACTCTATTAGTGGGTGAGTTTTATTGATGTGAAAACAAAAATGACCTATTTTATTATTATCAATTCCTTTCTTCAACAATTGCTTTGTCTTATATTGATTTAGTTTCTGGCAATTTTACCTAATTCTAGCTTCTTTATGGAGACTCCATATGCTCAGGGAGAAAAGACAAAGTATATCATTAGGGAAAATTTATTTATCACTTCAAAGTGATTAAGGCCATGACACAGTGCTCTTATTCTTCACCCTGCCACTATTGTTGGTGACTTCAACAGCCACCTCAAAGGCCTAGAGGCAGAACCTTTTTCTTCCAATTCTTTTTTGTTCTCCATGGGTACCAACACTCTCCAAGGTACTTCAGAGCCAGACTAAGGAAATAAGGGCAGAGTCTAGGCTGGCTTTGCCTCAGAGTGGACACTGTAATTTCACATGCGTGTGGTTGTAATATGTATGTGTTCGTGCCTGTGAGTATGGGATGTAATGTTTTTATAAAGAACAAAAGACATTCTGAGATTCAAAGATTATAATTTCATACAAATAATTGCTCTAAACTCCAGAACTTCTACTAAGCAATTCCCTTCTCTTTCTTTCATTTGAATAACTTTCTAGATAGAAACCCTGGGGTTTTGTTAGCTCTTTAACCTGTAAAGAAATGTGATTCTCCAAGAAACTAGAGCTGCAGTGTGATCTTCGATCTCCGCTCCTCCCATTAATCATTCAAGACTCTTAGAGTCTCTTTAGAGAAGATGTTTAAGGGCTGACACAACACTTCACATAAAGGAGCAAGTTATGCTGTGCATGGCATGAATAATTGACTGCATCTGAGTTTGGGGTTTGAGGGCACTGTTGACTTAAGCAAAATAAGCCGGCAGTCCAGCTGCAGCTTTGGTTGTCTTGCTTGACCCTATCCAATACTGTCTGTCTCGCCTAACAGTGGCCCTTTTCAGACCTCTCCAAGTACAGAACCTTGACCAAATCTTCAAGTTCTGTTCTGCACACACGACTTGAACACATCTGGCTGATCTGAGCTTCTCCTTCGGTGAATATCTTCCACTGGCCTAAAAGGCAAACATACAATATCCAAGAGACTGTAAGAGCAGAGCACAGCAAATTTAGAATAGAACCAATACACACCCCCATCCTACTCATGGACCCACCAGGAGATCTGAAACACAAACATACAAACAGCATAGTATCAGCAAAAATGGTCCCCAAAACACCTTTCTGGGAGCAGACATGGAAAACAAGGCATGAAATTTTTACTTCAACACATGGCATTTGTAAGAATCCCAAGAATAATAGATAAATGCCTCCTTAAGAGTAAAGCCTAAGAATTTTAGAGGGAATATTTATAGTGTATTTAGCATTTGCAAATGCTCTACTATCTGTTAGCTATTTAGGAGGTTCATTTGGCACCAGGTCAGAAAAGGCACCGTGGAAAATAATACCTACTACATTACTAGTGCCTTGCTTAATCTTAGGGACCTTACATTCTGTTATAGATTACTGGATTATTTGCCAACCTTTTCTTTATTCCTGAAATGCTTTTGTCAAAAGCCATTCACTTCTATTTCCTTCATATTCATGTGTTGTTCTTTATAATTCCTCAACCTCTTTAAATTCTGTCTCTTGGCTCCTTACAGTGTTTCATTCTCATGTCCCCATACCCCTTTCTACTTTAGGTAAACTCAGCTATATCCCTTCATTCCATGTTGTCTCTGCCCACTCTGGAAATTCTCTTCATTCTTCTTATTCCTGATTATGGTGATGATCCTAGAGAATCCCTAATCCAAGGTCAGAAAGCTCCTCTTAACCCCAAACCTATTGTGAAACTCTTGCTTTCCTTAGCTACAATTGAACATGACTTCCTCCACTTGAGACCTGATGTCTTCTTTTATCCTTTCTCTCTTGGGTTCCTCACTTTTCCCTATTCTCTCTGATTCAATGGGAAGTTAGAAGAGAAAAAGAAGGTCTAGGCAAGCAGCCAGGCTCTGCTAAGTGCCCACTGTAAAGGAGTTTGGTTGATTTTTCTTTGTCCCCAGGTGACCCCATAGAATCATCTCAATATCTGTTTCCTTTAGATGCATACAGTTTGAAGCAAATACCATCTACCTCCATTGTACATTCTAAATCCTAATTGCTAAATCATCTTTTAAGTCCCCTGGAGCCGAGTACAGTACCTTGCTAGGTACTTAAATACATTCTTTGAAATTAAATGGTAATTTCCAAAGTCACATCATTGATCCTCGGATGCTAGACTGTGCCTCCTTTACTCCTTAAACACATGTAAGGACTCCCACCACTTTCATTCAAATTTTTATACTATTCATTTAAATTTCTATCAGTCCAGCAGAAGACTTTGGACTTAATTAACTCTATTTCCAGCTACCTATTAAATAACTGTTTTCAGATGATCCTCAAGCATCTTAATTTAAACATGTTCCAATTGATGGGAATTTAAATTAGTACAGTCACTATGGAAATTAGTATGGAGATTAAAAAAAAAAACCTATGAATGGAAACACTCCATATGACCTAGCTGTACTATTCCTTGGCATTTGTCCAAAAGAACTAAATTCAGCATACTATACTGATATAAACTCATCAATGTTTATAGCAGTGCAATTCACAAAAACCCAGTTATGCAACCAGCCAGATACCCGTCAATACATGAATGGATAAAGAAAATGTGGTGTGTATGCCCAATGGAGTTTTACTCAGCCATAAAGAAGAATGAACTTATGTCATTTGCAGGAAATGGATGGAAGTAGAGAGCATCAGGTTAAGTGAAATAACTCAGACTCAGAAAGACAAGGGTCATATGTTTTCTATCATATGTCAAAGCTGGGGAGGAAAATGGAATCTCATGAAGATAGAAGACCAGTAAAGTAGAGGAAGGGGATCAAGCGGCGGGAGGAGTGGAAGGAAAGTGGAGGAACTGGGAAATGAAACTGATTGTTATGTGCATATAGTTTGTATGCCACAATGAATCCCACTCTTCTATATAATTATTATGCAGTAATAAAATCTTTAAAATATAGATACAAGAGTTTAGCTATAATATAGCTTGTATATGGACTCTAATAATAATTATAATGATAATGAAATTCGTATCTTCCAAGTGAAACACACACACTCTCTATCTTTTCTACTTAATACCTGCTATTCTTAAGAGTTTCCTATGGGTACATGGAATTACTATTCTCTAAGTCTACGGAGTTGATAATATTGGAGTCACTTCTCTCTTTGACACTTATCTTGTTGAGTTAACCTCAGAAATGCCCCTCATAGGAAGCTCTCCTCCCCTGTCTCACCAAATTAAGAAAGAATCATAGCTTCCTAATTCAGACTGTTGCCAGCTCATTCACTAATAGTTCACTTCTCACTCCAACATCAAGGACCTCTGCTTAAAAAACAGATTTGAACACATTCACTTGCTTAAGTGCTTCCATGGGGGTTCTTTGGCCTGCAGATCAAGTCTAACTTCTTAGCACAGCAAATTGAACACTTCTAAATCTGGCTTCATCAAAATAGGTGCTTAATGAATCTATCTAAAAGCCCAGAGACATCGTTCCAAAGCACCATTTTGATACCACTCGGCTGTGTGTACTTTGTGGCAACTCTCTCAGTTACCTGTCTTACCTGTGAACTTTTCACTGGCTTCTTCTAGGCCTACTACTTCCTACCAACTCTTCTCATCTTTCAGTGCACCCTATGTGGCTTTGTGATTGTTCCTCACCCCCACCCACATTTCTTGTTTGCTCCTGTCTGAGGCTTCTCTTAGGCTGCACCCTCTTCCTGGACTGATTTCTTGACCTGGTGCCCAGTCACACCCTTCTCTTTCAAAACACACCTCCTCCCCGAAGTCTTCCCCTACTAAGCCCACCTGGCTCTCATCTCATTGTTCTTTGCAGATTCCCCTGAGCACTTAGGTATTTAACTCCTCAGTACTATACTAATTCATGAAGGCATTTTCATGTTCTGTCTCGCCCATTAGAATTCCCTGTGGATAGAAATTTTGTGCCTTTTATTCCATTAGATGTGCTCCCCACCCCACCTCCCCAATGCCTAGCAGTATCTAGTCCCTAGGCTCCATCTAGTGTAGAAAGTGGGAGAGTTGCAAGCATGTTTGAATGTCTGAATGCTTTTAAAGAAACATGACCACCCAGGGACATTTCTGAAGAAGTCAAAGAGCTTTGATACAACACAGGAATTGATATACATTCCTTTTTTCCTCTCATCTCCACCACTAGGGAACATAACCTTCCAGATGTGAACTGTTCAGAATTATACCAGACCTGGAATATTGGGAGGCTTTCTCCAACCCTCTCGAGACTTTGGGTTTAGCAGTTTCATAAAAGACATTCAGGGATGCTTGACCTGAGGTAGCTTATATTCACACTACATCTGGGTTTGTATTCATCATGTCCAAGCTTTTCAGTTTACATTCAGAAATCTTATTTGCTTTTAAGTCCCCCAGGGAAGAAATTGAGCATCCTATAATTTTAATACTGCATGTTGTTAATGTTCACTGGAAACACAGAGGGACTACAGTTGTAGCTATACTATAGTGAAAAGCTGGATGCATTTTTCAGGGAAGAATAAAGAGAGGTACCACTTACTCATGGTTGTCCTGGTCACCAGCTTGAAATGATGGAGATCCTCAAACATCCTTTTGGAGATCTTCTCAATGTGGAAGTGCTGTAGAATGCCTGGGGCCGAGCACAAAGTAGGGCAGGTGGTCAGGCACTCTCTATGAGCATATCATCTCATTACTGGGGCTTAGGAGTATCGAGCTAGGCTGTGTAATGTGCTTAACCAGAAACTTGGATGGCTCAAAGGTTATAATTGACTCCATTTGTTTCCTTGGCTCACTGGCCTCTACTTGGCTTCTCTAGGGAATGGAGATAAGGGAGATAGTGCTGCTGACCACAGGACCTCCTCCTAGGGAAAGCCACATGGAATCAAGCATGGGTGCTGGTTGGAGCTTCTGCAGCCAAAGGCAGTATTAGAAATTCTGCCTTTGCCCCCAATCTGGGTAGACTACTATATTCATGCCAAACCACTGGGCTGCCCTCCTAGCTAAACAATGAGAGCCAACAGTAGGATAGCAGGCAGGTTATTTGTATAGATGGAGAAGCCACTCCTGTTCCTGAACTCACTGAAGAGCACATTTATCTTTGGGAAATATTCACAGCTCCTTTAGCCTTTCTTTATTAAAAGGAATAGGGAGAGTTAAAATAGAGTAATCTGCAGTCTCAACCTGGCCTGGGTAGCTTTAATCAGAATAATAGGTAAATAAGTGAAAACTGCTTATTAGTTAAGCAGCAACATGTCCCTAGCCCACTTAAATAAATCCTCAAGAGATCTACAGAGGGCAAATGAGATTAAGTCTGAGTTTTTCTCTGATCACCAACACAGACCTTGATGACCCAGCACTGTGAACAGGAGGCTATTTAGATGCTACACTAGAGAGTTGCAAACCATCCACATACCTTAGTGGGAAGAGAAATATGAGGTGACAAATACTGGGCCTACTGCTGGGGAAGCCAATAGACCAGTGCCTAGATAACCAGTTATAGACCCACTATGGAGTTAAAGATGGAAAAATTGACATGCCTACGTATAAAGCCAAAATAAAAATGGCCAAAAAAATGCACGTGCATTCTAGCATATTTATTTTCTAAGGGGTGAGGAAGAACATACCCTTCAGAGAAGCAAAGGCTGTTATGAAAAGGGAGAGAAAAATCCCCTTTTTAAAAAAAGTATACAAGCAGTATTCCTGAAAGTGTGGTTCAAGTGTCACCTGCATTATAATCATCAGGCTATATTTTAAACATGTAAATATTTAGGTCCTACCTAAGGACTGCTGAATATGCACCTCCGGGATAGGGCCAGATAGCTGCATTTAAAACAGCTCTCTGCATGATGCTGAAGCACACCAAAGGTTGAGCACTTTCAAACTTTAAATGGGAACCAGTAGCAGGAGGATGTGTAAAATTTTCCAACACTTGTGTATAATTTTCTACATTTGGATTCCTGGAAAAGTTGACCAGACTAGATCAATACCAGCCTTATACCTATAGAATGGTGTGAAGAGCTGTAGGATCTCAGTGAATAGAATGTGGCTTGTTATGGTTGTCACTGTGAGTAATCAGAAAAAGAACTGGACATCATGACTGGGATTGTTTCTCCAGAGAGTCTATAATCTTGTCAAGTCAGTGATGATGTTTTTAATTTCATACCCCAGAACATACAACATAGTTCTAGGGACTTAGCTTCACACTGAATAAATGGGTTTCCTGTTTGTTAAGCTTTGTATTGGAGAAGCAGAGCACAGTTTGGTAGTTTGCAATCCTGGCTGCAGATTAGAATCACGTGTGGAGCTGGAAGAACAAACACTGATGCCCAGGCCCTACCAAGACCAACTAATCAGACTTTTGGGGTAGAGCCCGGGTATTTGATAGTAAAACAAAGCAAAATAGAAAAACTTGCCCAGATGATTCTGATATTCAGCCATGATTAAGACTCACTCCTTCAGCTTTTGGTGGCATGAGAAAGACCATAGGAACAGCAAGGGTTAATATTAATACTAATCTTTAGCACAGACCATGGTTAAATATGAAAAGCCATAATGACAACTGTGTTAGACATGTCAGTTTCTAAGTAATCAGAAAAACTTCTGATTCAAACAGAGAAACATGTTGAAGCAAAATTAAGATGAGTCTTTCCTTCCTTCTCTGCCCCCACCTTACAAAGACAAAAAGTTAATGTTATCTTGCTCACCCTTTCGAATGGTCCAAACATGGACCTCTACCTGAGGTGGTCTCTCTGTTTCCAGTGCTATTTTTCTGGTAGTCTCCCCATCCTCCATGAACACAGACTCATACACAGGCATTGTTTCTTCTCCACAAAAGTAGCCTTTGCTGTCAAAGTTTTGGCCTGGAAGTTCTTCTGGAATTAGGGAGCAAGTAGAAAAAGTAGAGTTTTATCATGGGTTTCTAAAACTCAAAGTGAACTTGTGCGCTTACTTATTTCACTGTTAGCTATAACACCTTAGATAATCAACAAGAACATTTTTACAGAGACAGATTCCACTCATATTTTATTAGCTCAGGCTACCCTTTAGCAATCACCAAATCAGAAAGCAGCACGCAGCTATTGATTGAAATCCACATGATGACAGAATCCATAGTTGTATAGAACACTGGCCCACCAGCTAAACTAGATCTCCTTACCATCATCCTTGAGAAACGGACTTTTATGAGGAAAAAGAATATAGCCAGGTATAAATATCTTTGGCACTAAAGGGAACATAGGATTTTCCATACTGGATCAGAATAATTCTCTGTCCAGCCCAGTGTTGCCAAGAGAGGCCCAGGGAATGGGCAGACAGAGGGCCTTGGTTAACTTCCCTGACATCATTTACATATACTTAGAAAACATTCATGACACTCATTTATGTGCATATACTTGCCCAACGGATCTATCCAAATTGGCTTGACATTTCTGAATGCTCTTTGATTTGTTTGTAAGGGGAATGATAATACCGGATCAACACTAGTGCCAAAACCTAGATGTCAGATTAGTCATATGTATGCTATGCCAAATGAATGGTTAGGAGACACAAAAAATTGGTCAAATCCCTCAACTATGGATCATTTCACATATAAACTAAACTGCTGGATTTTAGCTCCCAGGCATAAAGGTGCCAGCCCCCTAATATGTCCCCATTCTACTTCACCCTCCCCTACCTCAGCCCTCTTCCCCAAAAAGTTCCTCCTGGTTGGTTATCAGTGAGTTAAGTTTCTTTGCTAGCTTCGTAATCAGCACCCTCTTCAGCTGCGTATTTAAAGTGTACACTCAAATCAGGAACAACAAAGAGAAGCCTTAGACACCCTGAAAACTTTGAGTATGTGCAGAAGCCATCTGTAAGAATGTCTGAATTGTCAAGGATGAACCTGCTGAGTGTTGAGTGCTTTGGAGCTGTAACTCTAATTGGGGAGACTCACTGTCAGCCAATCAGACACATTTGGACGAGAAGTTGTAATCAAATTGCTATTGTATGTCTCTTGCTGACCTGATTAGCTTTCCCACCCCCACCACCATTTGGCACCGTAAGGACAAAACTATCTCTTTTCTTGACAATTCCAGGTTGGATTACTCAATTTGTGGATTATCTCAGAATCCAGCTTCCTTTCTCCTTTTGTCTTTCTTTTCAGCTATTTAATTACTTGGCAGCCCAGTCTTTTTGGTGATATGTTAAGCAATTAAAGGATGTTTGCTAGCACTTTCCAAATGGGTGGAGGGAGGAGGTCACTGAGTTTACAGGGACTTGTATGTGTACAACTATCACCTTTAGAACAAAAGATAAGTTCATTTGTTAAACTTTGCTCATATCATTGGCTTAATATTGGCTATGGCTATCACTGATGTATGAAATTCATGATGTCACTGGAAATACCTGTAATATGCTCAAAGTCCTTGCAGTATACTGAAGAGTCCTTCTACATCACCACCCTCTCCCCTCCAAGAGCTTAATTTATTAGACTAAAGGGATCTACAAACAACAAAAGCCATTAGTGACTCAGCCCTGGCTGACACTTGAAAATACCAAAGGAAGCAAAATTTGTCTTTAGAAGGACCTATTCAGCAACATCTTCCACTTTCCATACTCTTACTTGAAGGTGCTTTCTGACCACTGCATGCTCACCTTACTTTTATTTCCTTCTGGCAAGCATGCCACATTTGACATCACTTCTGACTATTCCCATTTCCTGTATGAATGCTCTTATCAGGAACCCTCTAGAACTAAGAAAATAATAAACCATTCCTTATGGAAGTGGTGATGACTGATGAAGGAAATATGTTAGCTCAGCTCAGGTAAGTTTTAAGTCACAATGTGGCATTTTATGCCAAAATGCAAAAGGAGTATATAGGGAATTTCAGGTATCAGGGTGGCATAATGAATGTGAGAGGTGAGTTGAGGAACCTTCAGGAAGTTGAAGTCTTACCCAACCCCGTAGGTGACCACTGATGTGCAAGGCAAGGCCAGCTTCTCCCAGAGTAAAGGGAAGAGAGACAGGTAAGATACATCCTTTTATTTTGGTCCTTGTTCATTACTGGTGGAGTCTGCAATCAGTTGTTGCAATTAAACTTTGGGCTGGATTATTAGTGAATTTTATTTCTCTATTTACTTTATCAATATAACTGAATACACAATTCTTTGTCCTTAGATCTTCTTCCCTCTTCACTCCCTTGTTCTTTTTCCTCAATTGTCATGTGTCGTTTTTTAAAGAGGCTCACAATGTCATGATCTTCCCATTTCTCATCTCTTCACATCATAGAGGACTCTACTCAAATATTATCTTTTTAGAAAAATCAGTCTTTGGAAAATGCTTCCTACCACAGTCACTATCAGTCCTGATCCCATTTGGATTTTTTTCACAGTGCTTCATCATAACCAAAAATTATTTTATTGATTTGGGTTCACTGTCTTCTCCACTAGAAATCGAGAATCGTCTCTTCCCTCAGTGTTTATAAGTTTTTTGCACACAGTAGGTACTTAGCACATATGTCTAGATCAAATGTATACAGAGAGGCACGTCCCTTGGTGTTCTGTAGTTGATGAGTACCTGGAACAGATGCCCTATGCCATGTTACTGGGACAATGTGACTAGCAGGGATGATTCAACCTGGAGACAATCATGTCTGGCCCAGTGAGAAATACATCACCCAGAATGGGACAGAAATTCTCTCCTTCCATGTTGCCCAGTCAATCTATCTCCACACATCTGATCAGGATAGGAAATAGGAAAAGCAGGCCTTTTAGAGAAACTGGTTTAGTCAATCAGATTTTTCAATATATTGCCCACTAGCATTTTGCAGGCCAGGTTTTCAATGTCTATTGATCATTTAAAAAAAATTATTGGTACTTTTTAGTAATACATAATAATAGGATTTGTTTTGACATATAAAAAATATAAGTGCATGGAATACAATTTGCTCTCATTCAGTCCACAGTAGTTCCAGTTTCCCTCTCCTCCTCCCTCCCCTATTCCCTTGGCTCTACTCTGCTGATCTTTCTGATATTTATTTATTTATTTATTTATTTTTAAAGTAGTGCCTTGTGAATATACATGAAGGTGAGATTCACTGTGGTATATTCATCTATGTACACAGAAAAGTGCAGGGCAGTTTTTAAAGTGATGACTTCTATTATCTTTTCAAATTTAGAAATACTACACATTTACTACTGAAAATTTAGAAAATACAAACAAAAAAAGAAATAAGAATTACCCATTTACCCACAAATGACCATTCTGCCACATTACCTTCCAGTTTAAAAAGTCTAAGCATATATGAGCATATTTATTTATATATAAATATAATCTAAGCATATATATGCATATACTTTCTTTTTAACACAAAAATGTGTGACCATACTAAACACTTTTGTAGCTTGCTTTTTGTACTTAACATACGGCAAATAACTTTCCATGCCATCAATTCTTGGTGTACAATTATTTTTAATGGCTATTTAATACTACATAGTACAACTACACCATAATTTCAACATTCCCATGATGGTGGATTTACAGATTATTTCCAATTTTTCACTACTATAATAATAGTACTGCGGCACAAATCCTTCTTTGTATATTTTTGTGTATCTCTGATTATTTTCAGAGGACATCTGGGAGTGGAAATGCTTATCCAAATATTTTAGTAAAATTACAAACCTGAGAGGAAAACTATTTGAAAAGTAATGCCTACCTTGTGTACTGTTCTCACAACTTTTAAGTTCTTTCCCTTTTTGTTTGAATCACCAACATCAATAAAATCCTAAGCACACAGTGAAATGTGATTTGGTCTGGAGGTCTGAGATTCAATTGAAATATTATATAGCATGAGGGTTTATCTTGGGTATTTAGGTAACTATTATATTTTGTCTGAAGTTATCTTCTATTACTATTTAAACTATAGATGTTAGACCCCTGACAGAAAATTATGTTGGTGGAACTACAAAAGATGACGCTAAAGATTTGGAGATCCAGTGAGACCACAGATGTGGAAGTCATAACAGGTCACCATAGTTGGATGACCTCAATATCCATATCATCCTTAGAATGTGCTTTCTCTCTCTCCCTCTAATAAGTACATTTCATGAATTCTTATCCCTTCTTTCTACTCTATGTCAGTTAGTTCTTATCCTTCCTATCCATTCCATCCCCCATTTACTCTGGAAGATTGGGGTCATTATATTGAGGAAGATTTTGTTTGTGCCTTAAATCAGCATCTCAAAGTTTAACATACAGTAAATTAAAATCAACTGGGGATCTTGTTAAAATGCCAATTCTGATGTAGTAGGTCTGGGGTGGGAGCTCAAGAGTCAGCACTTGTAACTGGCTCTCAGGTGCTGCTGATCCACCAGCCACACTTGGAGTTGTAACACCATAGTAGTTCTCAAATTGTCTGCGCATTAATATTACCTGGGGATCTTTAAAAATTTCCAAAGCCCAAGACACACATCAAATTGATTAAATCATAATCTCTGGGGATGGGACACAGGTATTTTTAGAAGCTCTTGGGGGATTCCAATGTGAAGACAAGTTTGGGCACCGCTGGCCCACATGAAAATGCTTCATTAATACACATCAACTAAGTGCATGTTTGCCTGTTAGTAAAGAGGGATTGCCTAAAGTGAAGGAATGAATGATTTAGCTCTCTGCCTACATTAAAAAAAAATGTTTGGTTTCTCATCTGTGTTGATACAACTTATTTGTAGAAGGCATGAGAAATGAGAAATTCATGTGCCTGGGAGTAGCTACTTCATTGACTGTAGAATATTGGAACTGAACAGACTCTAGGATATCAGCTGCTCTAACCCTCTCATTTTGCAGAAAGGGAAACTGAGGCTCAGAGAAGTTGTTACTTGGTCTCAATCACACAGGAGACCAGTGGCAAGCCACGGTTAGAATACTTGATTACTCATCTCATATTTTGTCATTGCCAGGACTACTGATTATGTTTTTATTTAGCTAATGTCTTTAAAACAAACCACAATTTAAATAATTACTTTGCCTTTTAAAAAATTAGTAAACATTTTCTGCTGGAGAAGACAATAGGGTTGAAGTTGACCTGAGTTACAGGCCTTGGTTTTTTTGTTTATTTGCTTGTTTTTTAGCTTGGCCAGATTTAGTTTTCAGTTATTTATTTTTATTGGTTCTTTTTAGTTACACATGACAGTAGAATCCATTTTGTCTTAATTACACAAGCATGGAATATATCTTGTTCTAATTCAGATCCCAGTATCTCTCCTTCCCCTCCCCTCCCCCCTACTCCCTCCCCTCCCCCTACTCCCTCCCCTCCCCCCTACTCCCTCCCCTCCCCCCTACTCCTCTCCCCTCCCCTCTACTCCCCTCCCCCCTACTCCCTTCCCTCTACTGATCTTTCTACCATTTACACATAGTGTTCTGTTTTATTAATTTATTGTGGGCCTTGGTTTTTGTTTTGTTTTGTTGGTACCAGGGATTAAACCCAGGGGTGCTTAACCACTGAGCCACATCACCAACCCTTTTAATATTTTTATTTAGAGACAGCATCTCACAGAGTTGCTTAGGGCCTTGCTAAGTTGCTGAGGCTGGCTTTGAACTCGATCCTCCTGCCTCAGCCTCCTCAGTGGCTGGGTTTACAGGCATGAACCACTGCACCCAGCAGGGCCTTGGTTTTTATTATCAATTAGTTGCATGACTTTGGTTAAGTCACTTTGTACATCTCAGTTCCCTTGTCTTTAAAAGGCAAATAATATAATTATAGGATTTTAGTGTTGGGAGACAGGGCAAGAGGGGAGATAGAGAGCAGTTAGATAATAGGTGCCAAAATACAGGTAGGAGGAATTGGTTCTGGTGTTCTACAGCATAGTAGTATACATAGTTAACAGAAATTTATGATGTATTTCAAAATAACTAGAAGAGTCCAAAGGTTTCCAATACATAGAAATGATAAATGTTGGAGGGGGTAAAAATGACAATGACCCTGATTTGTCCATTAGACATTTGATACATCTATCAAATTGTTATAGTATGCCCCATAAATAAATACAAATATTATGTCTCAAAAAAAGAAAATGCAAACACAAAAAAGAAAAGAAAGGATCCTAGAGATCAATTGTTCTAACCTTTTCACATGAGGCTGATGAGGCCAGGAGTGGATATGGCACATTTTTAAAGTCACACAATAACTTACATTTGAAGCTGAACCTGGTCTCCTACTATAATTCATCTATATTTCCTCCTATCTGAAAAGTGTAATGGATGTGACTGTGCTTTGATGAGCTAAACAGTAATAAAATTAAGAGGTGCTACTATTTTTCCTAACAATTATAATAACATAAAGTCTCTGCTATTTATAAAAACAAGAGTAAATATAGCACTTAGGGCTGTCTGGGAGGTGTCGTAGACAAGAGGAAATCCCCAGTATATCTCAGAGTAGTAAATTTCTTCTAAGTAATCATCTTATCAGTCCCTCAATTGAAGTTAATTCTTACTATAATTATTATCATTAGAATTATATGAGAGGTTAATTATGTTTCTGATGCCCAATGAAAGTTGAGAAGAACTATGTGTGGATCTCAGTCAACCAAAGGCAGGGCCTCCAACCAACGCACCTTTTGCCTTTTTACCTGGACACACCTTGCAGCACTTTCCATCTATTTTTTGAGGATACTTGCAAGGATATCGATTGGGGCAGTGGATTTTCTTACACTCTTGCTTGGTGACATTACAAGTGCACAACACACACTCCACAATGCCAAATGCCCGGAGGTTTGGATGCCAGGACTCGCCATGAGAATAGGTCTTTCCATTGGAAACACACACTGGAAGAGAACATAGGACTCAAAATTAAAGGCAAGGGAGCTAAGATGGGTTCCTATGCATGCAACCCAAGGCCTAAACTCCTTAACACATCGAGCATCCTTTGTTCTTGTCATGGGCATGGAGACACATTTACAGAGCAGTCTGTGTGACCAAAGCTCAGCTTGGGCCACATTCTATCATCATCAGTTATCCAGGTTCATCATCTGCAGTGGCCTTTGAATGCTCACAAATGGCCTAATACATATAGGCAGATAGTGAACATTTTTTAAATATTACTTTTTAGTTGTAGTTGGACACAATACTTTCCTTTTATATATTTATTTTTATGTGGTGCTGAGGATCAAACCCAGGGCCTCACACGTGTTAGGTGAGCATCCACCGCTGAGCCACAACCCCAGCCTTAGTAAATATTTTTAATGCAGACATAAATGAACACATGAATGTGGAGTTCTATCTATCCTGAGCACCTGCTAAAGAGTCTACAGTAGAATGTGGTATTAACATCTACAGTGCCATAGAAGATTTGTGTGGCACAAGTTGATACGTTTTCAGGCATGAAATTTCCCAAGCAAATGTGCTGATGAGGGAGGATAGATGCAAAAACTACTGCTGTTCCCAAAGGGCCAGTCTCTTCCAGACCCTGAAGCCAATCCATTCAAAATTTCAAATAGTATGAGAGTCTGATCCACCAATATGGGTGGGTATGGAGCTTAATGCTGCTGATCCACTCTGTGGTGTAGGAAGGCAGTTGTTAAGACTGAAAGGGAAAGGGCCTATAACTTGTGAAGGGGTGGCTTTTTATGTCTCTAAGCTTCAGGAAATTTCCTCAGTCTCCCTCCTTGTAGTGGCTGTAGAGATTTGGCTACAGTGAATTACTGCCCGCTCCACAGATATCCTTCATCACTCTGGCATTTGTTGAGTGGGAAGTATAGTTTGTTTCTGAAGGGCCTTGAAAGACCAAACACCTGGGCTGCAATCTGAGGTGCCCGTGAATGTAAAGGGTCACAGGAGTATCCTTCCATGCAAATCAACTTAAAACTTATTAGGCTCCTACGGTAAGTCATGGACCTAAGCCTCAGGGAACAAAAAAAAAAAACTGTACAGGTCTGTGAATGGGGGAATTCTGAGAATGAGTTCTCTCCCCTTTATAAAGTGCTGAGATTGTGGAGATTTCAAACTATGAGTGGGTCTGAGTATGTTTTTCATTATTCCCATCACCTCATCACACCCAGAGAGACCTGTCGGCATCCCAATCAACAACATCTCTAGGGTGGGTTGTATCACTTTGGGTGGGGTTGGGGGGTGAGAAATAGGCCCACTTGGGGCGTTTCTAGGAATTGACTGATTTGGCTGCAAGACAACAGCTCAGGATGAATCACTGGGCTATTTCTTTCTCATCAAGTCCACTGGGTCACATTGAGAAATATGAATGATATTGGCTGCCTCTTACTGTCCTTTGCAAGAGCTGCTAGAATGCTGGGCACTCTATGGGGTCAATCCATGTAAAGATTTCCAAGAACCTCAACATGAGTCAGAATACAGACTTGGTACCTAAAGTGGGGCTTAAGGCTGTAGACAGAACAACAAAAAACAGACCAGATGTGTTATTCTCTTGTGTGCCCTCACCTCTTGTTTCTCCTCAGAGAGTGACACTCCCTTCTAGGTAATGTGGGCAAGTGCATAGGTAGTCTGCTTCAAGAAAATTTAGGCTGGATTCAAGTTCAAAATGGTGGAGTACTATTGCTTCTCCTCTTTGGTTCAAAGAGGGAACCAATAGATATATCTGAAAGGACCACATTATTAGCAATAGGGCTAAGGAGAAGGGTGAGCCATGCTGAGGAGCAAGGCAAGAAGGCCTCTCAGTATCATATAGCTAGGTTCCCTCTCCTCTAAACACGTAGAGTAAGGGAATAGTCCAGACTGGGTAAGAGCCCACACTCAACAGTGGGATATGATGAGGTCAATTCTCTAGAGGAAAACCCAGCCTTCTCCCCACCAACAAATTCTCAAGATGATTTTGAATCATCCAGCTGGGGAGTTGGGAGCTGGGGGTGGACACAAGTGATTCTCCAGTGAACTATAATAGAAAGGTCAGAAGAGAACTGCTGCATCCAAGTCAATGGGCGCAGATGAATAAATGTAAACCAGCTGGAGCTTTTATAGAACACAGAGACAATCAAGGGATGAGCCTTACCCTGAAAAAGAAGAAGCCTTATGGAAATTATGGGATTTAGGAATTTTAAAGTCCATTTCCCCACACTTGCTTTAAGGCTTTGAAATACTTTCAAAGCAAATGAAATCAACTAGGGGAAATTTGGATTGAAAAATAAAACTGCAACTTAACTCCTCCTCATTTCATAAACTGGTATCAAAATGTTTTAGAACATAAACATAGTAAGTTTTGAATCAAACATAGATCAATAGCAAATATTTCCAATTATTTTAATACATAACCATTTTATTAAGAATCTTATTTAGACTATTCTTTTAAGCTTGTAGGTTTCAAAAGCAATTTAATTTTTATCTATAATCTGAAATTTACATCTAACTAGTAACAGATGTGATCATCTAGCTTTGGCTTGACGAGCATTGTTGAGATTTATAGTAGGAGTTCTTTGTAATGGATTGTTTTTCACCCCTTTTATTCAATCATTTCGTTTAATAATTTATTACTTTAACCCATTCAGAGAACTGCCTTTGATTTGTTTTTCCTTTAAAGGAAATAAAACATGTTTGTGGTTTGGTAAAAAGGAACCAGCTGAGCTGTTAGTTTGAAGAGCTGGTTGACAGGATGCCTAAAAAAGTAAGAAGCAGTCAATTGTTTGATTGAATTTCTCCTCCTCCTACCTCTGCTACTGGGGTTGGATCAGTGGAGGCCAGAGAATTCAGTAAAGGAGAAAACAGGCCCTGTGCATGTGTGTGGGTGCTTGCTGCAATCAGTTGGTCAGTTGAGTGGGCTGTAGGTCAGTGTTAACCTGATCAATTGTCCTGGTGCTCGGCCAGGTAGTTTCTGGATTTTCCCTAAATTACTCATTTCTCAAGACAATCTCATATGCTCCACATTGAACCAGAATTTCTGAGAAAGGGGCCTGGAATATTTAGCAAGAGCCCCAAGAGAATCTGGTTTGCACTGAGGTGTGTGAATGACTATTTCTAAGGTGTGTATAAGAGCTTCAGAATGTTTGGCACTTTCAATGTTGGGTGCCCTACTGAATGAAGACCCCAGGAATTTTCTCAAATGATCCATGGAGGCAACTGAAAAATCATGGGGGGGGGTGCTGTTTCAAAAGCACAAAGGGAATTTGTCCTTTAGCTGCATTTAGGGAAGTCCAAAGATTACCCTGGAGTCACTTGTTCACAACCACTTTTGTAGACTTGTGAGTGACCCACATGCAAATATGTGCTGTTGGTGGGAGAAAGGGTCCTTCCCAGCTTCAGCCCTTAAAAAAATATGTGGCTGTAGTATAAAAGGAGGATGGTCCCTTACCTTGTCCGTGCTTGTGTTTGTTATTGATGACAATCTGCACGATGGTCCCTGATCCTTGCTGGGAATCCATAAGAGCTCCTCGGTGACTCCTAGCCCCTGGAAAGCGAGACAGACTTCCAGCCTGTCGGTTTGGTGGAGGATCATGATGAGGGCGGTGGTAAGAATGTCTCTACAAAATGATAAGAACACATTTTGTACAAAAAAATCCTCCAATGAAGTGGCACAGATTGAGTTAGATACATTAGATGGCATTTTATGATTCTGATTTTCAGTGATGAACTCAGATCTTAACTGCATGTTTCCCTATACCAACAGAAGTGAGAATGTGATCATCTGAAAGCAGCACTGGCAATGTCTGAGGTTTTTCTCTTTCCTTGCAGAAGATCAGACTAGATTCAGAAACAAATTCCTGAGAGAAAAAAACAACCAAAAAGGCTAAAAGTGTCTTTCCTGTTCCTCAGACTCTCAAATTTTCCAGTTTCAGGGTTAAGATAGTAGTCCACAACACACAGCAGAGGTGATGAAGTGCACAGGATAAGTCTAAAATGCTGTGCAAATTAGGAGAAGAAAGAGAGTTGCTACTCAGGAGGGTTTGTGACCTGGGCCATGACGGGTGGGTAGACTTTTTACAGGCAGTTTCTGGGGAAAATTCCAGGCAGAGGTTTCCAAGTTGAGAAGGTGTAGCACAGAACATAGAGTCCATAAAAGGGAACAGTTGAAGGATAACATTCCAAATGGGGGTTGGTGCCGGATCATGGAGGACTTTAAATGACAAGCTAAGGGGTGAAGACTTTATTTGGTAAATGATAGAGGTGGGAGTGTGGAACCATTTGAAGGAATTTTTTTTTAAATGAGAGAAATAACTTGATTACAACTGTGTTTCACAGCATTGAACTCTGATTATTTGTAGGGTAAACTAGAGAGGAGAAGGCGGGAATCAACTACAGTCTTAATAAGATGTACTGAGACTGTAAACACAGGCAAAATGGCATAAAATCATACAGCAGGCCATTTTATAGACAGCACAAGACAGGATTACAATGTAAACTCCAGAGAGTCAAGGATTTTGTTTTGTTCACTGCTGCAATTCCAGTGCCTAGAATGGTGTTTACCATCTAGAAGGTGGTCATCCAATACCTGTTGAAAGAGAGAAACTATGATCCTTAGGAAAGCTCAGAGTCTTGTAGTATAAGTAATCTAAACATTCTTTGTTTGTGTATATGTGTGTGTGTGAGGACTGAAACCAGGGGCACTTTACTACTGAGCCACATCCCCAGCCCTTTTTATATTTTATATAGAGACAGGGTCTTGCTAAGTTGCTTAGGGCCTTGCTCAGTTGTTGAGGCTGCCTTTGAACTTGTGATCCTCATGCCTCTTCCTCCCAAGTTGCTGAGATTACAGGCATGAGCCACCATGCCCAGCTCCAAGCATTGTTCTTTCATCAGGGGTTCAAGACACATGGTGAGCTCAGTATCCTGCTACCTACTCTTCTCCCAGGAGTTGAAGCAGGCTGTGAGTACAGCCTTTAAGATAAATAACATTAACTGTGTCATGAGTGAAAGAGGGGAAAACCTATTTAAAAATCTTTCATAGGCAATTAAAAGGGAAAATCCTTATATTTAGTGATAGAAATAGCAGGGAATGTTGGGAAGATAGTTATGGGGTCCTTTGACCCCACCATCCATTAACAAATGATTACAGTTATGTGCCACAGACTCACATGTTGCAAATTTAGCTTTGGGAACTAATATTGCTCTCTTGGCAGGAGGAAGGAAGAGTGAACAGGAGATAGAGTAAGTGGACCTAGCCTTTTGAAAGAGAACATTATTATCTATATCTAAAAAGAACTCATTCTGGTGCATTGTTATAAAAATTCACACACATCAAATGTTACAACAATTTGTTATCATGCACATGAATAGGATTTTCAGTGCAAATATTTCTCATTCCCACAATGGCTCATATTTTTTTTTCTGCCATAATCACTCACATTCCACAAAGGCCATTACAGATCGTTCTGTCCTTTCTGCAGTTTGGCAAAGTTTTGCCAAAGTAACACAGAGAAGAAAGTTTGCCTGGTGGGTGTCCGACTGATGCTAAAAGAAAGGAGTTCAACAGGGAGAGAATTAGAGGGAAGGTCACTAACCCAGGAGAAGTTGCAAGTACAAGAAGTTCTCTGATTCATAATGGTGAGCACAAATTGAAAAGCTGTTCTTCAGCATCAGGAACTGGTAGGGTGAGAAAATGATTTGAGACAAAAAAAAAAATCTCAAGGATTTTTACAGAGGCACTGATGTAGACTAGTAGTCTCTCACAATTTCACCTTGTTGTAGTTTGTTTTGCAAGTAGAGAAATTGAGGCCAGAGAGGCAATTTATTCAGGATGACAGTGAAGGTTGAGTTTTTAGAAATGGTAGGATAGTAAGAATGGGGGGAAGCAGAGAGGATGGTGAACAGGAGGAAGAGGAAGTGGAGAAAGAATGGTCCACAAACTTTTGGCTAAAAGCTGCTCCAAAAAGAACTTCTTTCAATATAGAGCTCTTTCAGCTATAGTGTTCACAACCACTGGTTCTCCAACTTGGCTGCATAGTAGAATCACCTGAGGAGCTGTAAAAATACTGGTGTCTATGTATGAACATGGCATAATAAATACAACTATTAGGTTTAATTATAATGTACTAATAAAACTTTTTTAAAAAAAAAAATGCTAGTACCTGGATCCTAATTCCAGAGACTCTGAAGTAACTGGTCTGACGTGAGGCCTGGACATTAGGATTTTTCTATAAACCTCAGGAGTCTAATTTAAAGCCAAGATGGAGAATCACTGACATATGGATTTTCTGTTTGGGGTCAGGGGTGAGTAGTGATGGTGTGTGGTTTTGATTTAATGGTTCTTTTTGAGTTGTTCTTCTATACAAATGAAAAAGTCTTATCAAGGGCCATTCTGACTTTGTAACTTTGAGTGAAGGAGGAAAGACGTTAACACCTTGGAGTTGTAAGTTAAACTGTGGCTTATCATAGAAGTCAGTTGCAATTAGGCAACGTGCAGAGGCTGCTTGAGAGAACAGGTCAAAATCAGTTTGTTAGAAATTACCATCAAGCTATGCTTTGTTGTATTTTGCTCAATATTTTGGTATGTCTGGTTTACTGACTGAAGGACTGAAAAAAATTTTAGGTTTTTGAAATGGCTCTAAAACAGTTATTTTCTGGTGTTGGAAAATACCCTCCATAGTAAAGGCTCCCCAGGATTTTTTTCTTCACTTTTCTCAGGTTTAAGACATAAGAGTTGGGAAAGTATGGGTCAGGGATGGATGGAGAAAGATCAATTAATAAGTGCTAAGTTTGATCAGTAAGTACTAAGTTACAGTTGGATAAGAGAAAGGCATTTTGGCTGGGCACAGTAGTATGCTGGGAGGCTAAGGCAGGAGGATCACAAGGTTGAGACCAGCCTCATCAATTTTGCAAGACCCTGTCTCAAAATAAAAAAAATAAAATAAAAAGGGCTGTAGGATATAATTCAGTAAAAAACTAACCCTGAGATAACAATAATGCACCGTTTTTTTTCAAAACCTAGAAGAAAGGATATTGAATGTTTTCACAATTACTAAATGATATATATTTGAGAAGTTAGATATGTTTAACATGATTTAAACATTACACAATGTATATATGTATCAAAACATCACATGATATATGTATAATTTTTATTTTTGCATAATTTTTATATATCAGGTAATTTCTAAAAAGATGTAAAGGTTTTCTTGTCAGAGACAGGAGAACATCTGAGTCCAGAAAGGGCCTTTGCAGTGGTAACTTTGTACTATAGATTTGTAAGATGTTACCTTGGGGTAAAAAGTGGGCAAAGGGCATACAGATCTCTCTGTATTATCTCTTACAATTGCCAGTGAATCTATAGTTATCTTAAAAGAAAAATCTTTAATTTAAAAAGTGTTTTCAGAAAGTATTCTAATCCACATAGCCATAAAAGTATTATATTCTAGTCACTACTAACCTACAATAATCCCTGGCTGGAAGACACTTAGGCCAGTTTTCTTCTTAAACCACTTTTCTGACAATGTGGATGAGACCTGGATTTTTACCTCTTTTATGTTGTTTCTATTCCAAACTCCTTTTCTTTTTGAATAGCAAATTTCAATGCAATTAACTGGGGGACAAAAATCAATCTGGCTGTTGTCCAAAAGAAAATCATGCCTGCTTTCATGTTTTAGCTTTCCACTCCTTGCCTCCTTTTCCTTCCTCACATCGCATGAGCATGCGCACGCTCATACACACACACACACACACACACACACACACACACACACCACTTTGTCCAGTGGCATAATGACCAATTTATGTAAAATTATGACCTGGAAGTAAAACAAAAATGGTTTCAGGTTTTTACAAAGGAGACATATTTGAACCACTGCTTCCTCTTCCTATTCACTTCATAAAACTTGGTAACCTGATGGTTTTCAGCCTACTTAGCAAAATAAACCAATCAGCTGTGTTTCTGTGGAACTGAGGTTTTGATAATTCCCCATAAAATAGGAACAGTCTACTGGATAGAAAAAACGTTTTGGGAGCTGCCTTTTTGTTTTACCCCAGTGCAAGAAGTTGAGCCTGCAAAGGATATTCAGAAAGGATTCTCTTATCTTTTACATTAGGCTGGGCAAAAGAAAATACCAAATTTAAAGAATTTCTCTCTGACTTGAGACAAACTTATGTGCATTAAAATCAATGAAAAACCCCATTTCTACTCCAGCCCTCTCTCACGTACATTTCATTGCACCTTCCACAGCCATTCATTCAACATGAATTTATTGGGTGCGTGCTATGCACCAGGTATATATTTTTCATTACTACAGATGATATTTATTATTCAAACCATATCCCATAATATCTATGCACTTTAGAACAAAGAAAAATATTTACTTATAATAAAGTGGAACCATCTGGCCATTTTATTCTACCATTCCCAAATGTTTGTAACTCCTTTGAAAATCAATAACTATCTCAAGGTCCTGCATTCTATACATAACCTCTCTTGCTAGAAGAAGTCCTAGATGAAGTCTTTCCCTATCATAAACAGTTTAGAAAAATATTAAATCTGCAAGACCAGAGATGAGGTTTGTGTACAGCATAAAATGAAGTCAAGAAGAAAGGCTAATTAATAGCATTACCAGAACAACCAGTAAGGTGATCACAGTGCTTACTATGAACCCTGATAATTTAAGGTGACTGGGCCATAAATTTGGTTTGGAATGACATCTGATTCACAGCCACTACTTTAGCTACTCGGCTTCCTACCACAATAACAAAAATTCGGGGCTGAGATAAAGAGGGCATTCACACAGAAAACTGAGACTGATCCCATTTCCTGCCATGATCTGGAAGACTATCTTACTGTTATGGTTTAGATATAAGGTATCCTACAAAACCTCACATGTGATACAATGCAAAAGAGCTTAAAGTGAAATGATTGGGTTATGAGAGTCTTAACCTAATCACACTTAGTCTTAATGTAATCAGTGCATTGATCCCCTGAAAGGGATTAAGTGAGTGGTAACTATAGACAGGTAGGGTATGGCTGGAAGAGGTGGGTCATTGAAGGCATATCTTCGGGGTTTATATTTTGTTGAGATGAGAGCTCTCTCCCCCTGCCCCTGCTTCATGAACCATGTCCTAAGCTGCTTTCCTCCTCCACATTTTCTTTTTCACGATGATATACTGTCTTGCCTTGGGCCTAGAGTGGTACAGCTGGCCATCTAATGACTAAGACCTCTGAAATTATGATCCCACCCCCCGATTTTCCTCCTCTAAAATTGTTCTTGTTAGGTCTTTTGGTCATGATGGTGAAAAAGCTGACTAAAATGCTCACTATAAAACAAATACAACTGGATGGAGAAAAGCTTTCCTCAAGATCTATATTAAATGGCAAATGGGGAAGCCCACCCTGTCCTGTGGGATGCTGCTTTTTTGAGATATCCAGAAGACCGTTCTCCACTCCTGCCATAGTCCTTCTATATTCACTCAGAAACATCAATGCCTAGGAAACAATATCACTGGAGAAAAATGCAAATAGAAAGTATTTAATCTCACTGCTCAGGCTTTGGGTTGGGTGTTGGCAAGCAGGGGGCATGTAAATTAGATGTAATCCATGTGATGACCAGGAAGCACAGACTCAGCAACACTGTGATGTTTGTATTGGTCATTTGATTACAAAAAATCTGGACCCTTTCCTCACACCCTCAGTATCCTCAGGTGTGCTCTATAATTCCCTAGGCTCCAATACCTTACCTCCAATGCTTGCTGAGAACTGGTTCCTAAGGCTTTAGAAAATTAAATTTTATGCATTACAAAACTAATTCATGCTTATGGAAAAAGCATCAAATAATATAGAAGACAAAGTAAAAAGATAAATTTTACCAAGCCTCTCATTCTTCCTGTTCATTTCTACACTTCCATGATTACCATTCTTAACATGTTGGTATGTGGTCTTCCAAATCTTTTTTCTTTTCTTTTTTTAATTTGTTCCTTTTAGATATACATAACAGTACAGTGTATTTTGATATATTATAAATACATGGAGTATAACATAGATTCTGATTAGAATCCCTTTCTTGTGGTTATATGTGATGTGGTGTTTCACTGGTGTCCAAATCTTTTTTACATTCATTTATATACATGCACACACAATTTTATGTAAGGAAAGCACCTTGTTTTGTTAGATAATATGTCTCGGAGTTATCTCCCCTTGACTATATTTATATATACTGCATATACCCATAGATTCAGTGTATTTAACCACACTATTATTAATAGATGTTTAAGTTACTCCATTCTTTTTTTTATGAAAACAATGCTGAAATGAATGTCCCTGTACACTTTATGAATAGGGTGCAGTGAACACATTTATGTAAGTCTCTTCTGAATCAGAACATCTCCTTTTCAGACACTAAGAACTTAGAAGTGTTAACTCTTCTTACACATACATTTTTGTAAAGGGGTTCTATTTTGTTAATTATTTCAAAATACTACAAAGGAACAAAAGATAATATTACTATATGTAGAAAGATGTTTACTTGTGTGGTTTATTCTAAGATTAGCAGTGATAGCAGAAATGAGATGCTACAGGGTGAAGGGAGGAGAAACTGGCCCTCATCTTTCCTTTATTTTAAACATCTGATTTAGAGCCTTAAGGCTTATGGAAAGATTTATATGACCAAGTCCAAATTGATCCAAAAAATTCCATCAAAAGGATGGAATGGGCTACTTTACAATCACACAGAAGATGCTCGTTGTTGAGGATGGGGTAATGACTTGCCTTCTTTACAGGGGACATAAAGATTTGGAGAATCATCCTGAAAGGGTATAAACTTCTGATATAGATGAAGGGCTGTGGTTTCTTTGTGTTTGTATCCTGGCCTCAGTTAACAATTATACAGTGTACCTAAATGGTTATAGGTTGGTGATGATGTTATGCTAATTTCTGAGAAAAAAGAAGAAAACTGGTGTTAAAAAAGGACCCTTTTTTTTTTTTTGGATTTGCTGGGATAGTAGCCACAAGGAAAGGAAAGCTTGGCTGTGGGGTACTGAATTATTTGAGCTATTCACACTTACTGCTTCTCTGTTGGCAGGTTGCCGGAAGATATCACCATCAGAATGTTCCCACGACAATTCTCCATCCCCTGTTTATTAAAAAGGAATAAAGAAAAAAATAATACATACATAGAAGGGAAAACTATCACCCTTGTGACCCCAAACATTTTTGGTAGTATGATTCCAAAGTTCTCAAGACGTTTTAGCTCTTGTGGCTACCCTTCAAGAAACAGTACTGAAGGATTTCTCTGGGTGTGCCTCATGGTTCAAAACAACTCTGAAGAAAGCTGCCACTTTCTAAATAGATCATCTAGCAACATTATCATGAGTTTGGAAAATAAAAGGGAAAATAATCACTTTCCATGTAATATGACCATCATTGTCACTTTTGCTTATTATTCCAGTGACAGTTTAGTATTTTACAGGTCATATTTAATTTGTGTTTAAACTAGCCTTACACAATGAGTTTTCAGAATTTGGTCTGTCTTGATTTATTCAGTTCACTATTATGTCTCTGAGAAGGTATAAGCTTATTTGAAAGTTAAGATAAAACTTGCTGTGATTACAATATTTACATAACAAATATCCAGAATGCTCTCATCTATTTCTGCCTGACACAATTTTCTCTAGGTCTAATATGGCCCAGTTTTTGAACAGCAAATGCCTATCATTGCTGTCTTCCAGAGTAAGTGCTTTTAACAGGAGGATTCTACTTTAAGCATTGAGAGCAACAAACATGCAACAGATATGAATATTCCTTAGCTGACTGAAGGTCAAAACAATAGGTTAATTTCCAAGAACCTTGTTTTATCTATGACCAAACAAACAGATGGGAAATGGTCTTAGAGATGGTCTTACAGATCTTTTCACCACTCTAAATAAGTACTATATAAATTATACATATGGCTGAAGTTAAACACAATATTCAATCAGATATTTTGTGAGATAACAAGAAATATGCAAAAGTATGATTTAAATTTTTCTTTTCTAATTAATCTCTCAAGCCTTTAAAAACCTAAAACTAAATATTATTTAGTTAATGGTTCAATCATTGTTCAATAAACTGTTAGGGAAATTTATGCTTTAAAGGACTTGAAAAATACCTGAAAATTAGTTTGATGGCAATATTATTATCAAGTAGTCTCTTGTTACAAAGTATAGATTTAACCCTTCATAATTCAAAAATAATCTTATGGAAAACAATGATGAATTTTGAAGACTTAATTGTGATTGCTAATCTTCCTAAAATACAGCTTTGATTGTATAATCATATCATTCTCTGATCAAAACCCTAAGTGAGTCCCCATCCAAGACTCTCTACAATCAGCCCCTACTTCATCTTTATTGAATACCTACCTTCTATCCAATTATCTCAGCTACTCTGCAATGGGAACCATTTGACCTCATTGTTTCTCATTAAATATGTGACTCCCTCTCTTGCTTCTATGCTTTAGCTCATGTTCTTTTCCCACTCCTCCTCCTTTTATTTCTTTTTAAAAATATTGTTAGTTATATATGGACACAATATTTTTATTTTGTTTATTTTTATGAGGTGTGAGGATTGAACCCAGTGCCTCACATGTGTGAGGCAAGCGTTCTACCACTACCTAGAGCCACAACCCTAGACCTTTTCCATTCTTTTTTGAGACAAAGTCTCACCATGTTGCCCAGACAAACTCCTGGACTCAAGTATTCCTCCCATTTTACTCTCCTGAGAAGCTGGGACTACAGGTGTACACCACCTTACCCAGCTCCTCTATGCCTATGAAAAGCAGTTAGGATTTTCTTCCTCTACAAAGTTGTCCTCAGACACACATGTATTTCTGACTGCTTAAAAAACTTAGTGTTATGTAGCCTTAGAAATGTAGAAGATTTCAAGCATGACTTTGTTCAACTGATCCATTTAACAGATGGAAAAACCAAGGCTCAGAGAGGAGAAGTAGCCATTTACAATCAAATCTTTAACAGTACCTGACACATAGTAAACAGTCAATACTTGGCAAATGATTAAAGTGGGAGGCTTTTCTGATCAACCTAATAAAATTCAAACCCCCATCTGATTTTTTAAAATTCCTTCTTATTGGGGCTGGGGATGTGGCTCAAGCAGTAGCGAGCTCATCTGGCATGCGTGCGGCCCGGGTTCGATCCTCAGCACCACATACAAACAAAGATGTTGTATCCGCCAAATACTAAAAAATAAATATTAAAATTCTCTCTCTCTCCCTCTCTCTCACTGTCTCTCACTCTCTCTTTAAAAAAAAAAAATCCTTCTTATTGCTCTTTCTCCTTAGAACTTGTCACTATCTTACATTTTACATATGTTATTGTTTACTGTCCTTTTTTGACACTAGAATCTTCATGAGAACAAGGACTTTGGTCTGTACTTTTTATTGATATAATACAAGTACACTGAACAGTGATGGGCACATAGTTGATACTTATTCAATATTTGTTGAATGAATGAATACTAAAACATTATAAATATTTTGTGCTACTAAATGTTTACCAGGTCTGCCTTATCTCCCTGAGTAGAGTATAAATTCCTTGAAATGAGAGACCATGTTTTAGAACATCTCTATTTCCCCTCAATCACTACTTCTTGAAGGGTGGTCCCTACATGACCACATCAATGTTTATAGAAGCTCAATTCACAATAGCTAAGCTATGGAACAAACCTAGGCATCTTTCAACAGATGAATGGATAAAGAAAATGTGGTATACATACCCAATGGAATATTACTCAGCTATAAAGAAGAATAAAATTTTGGCATTTGCTGGTAAATGGATAAAACTAGAGACTATCATGCTAAGTGAAATAAGCCAGTCTCCCACCCCCCAAAAGATCAAATGTTGTCTCTGATATGTGGATGCTAATACACAATAAGGCTGGAGAAGTATAGAAGGTTCTTGCATTAGACAAAAGGGAAATGAAGGAAAGGGATGGGGGATGGAAATAGGAAAGACAGTAGAATGTACCGGACATAATTTCCTATGTTCATATATCAATACACAAGCAGTGTAACTCCACATCATGTACAACCAAAATAATTGGAAGTTTTACTGCATGTATATATAATATGTCAAAATACACTATACTGCCATGTATAAATAAAAAGAGAAAATTTTAAAAAGTGTGGTCCCTAGACCAGAGCATAAACATCAGTTGGAAATTTGTTAAAAATATAAAGTTTGGACCCCACAATACTGTGTCAGAAACTCTGGGGTGGTGCTAGTGATTTGGGTTTTGATAAGCTCTCCAGGGGATTCTGATGCATGCAGGAGTTTGAGCATAACTGTACTGGAGAATTGGCATATTGCTGGGTACATATCAGGTTCTCAATGTATGTACTGAATTAAACTGCAGTCAAAAAAAAATAAAAACAGAATTAAGTTTCTGGGCAGTCCACTCTCCTTTTCCTGGTTATTTCATATCTGAGGCAGACAATGACTGCATGAAGACATAGGAGAAAACTTGACTATCCATTGTAAGAGTGAAGATTACAACCTTTGGTTGTAACTAGGAAATGATGTCCATGAGTCCGTTAACATGCATTAAATGCCATGTATTTGGAATGTCTGATATTGGCAGGAGGAGGACAGAAATCAGGCTGGGCTCTTGCACTCAAGATATGTACACCATGATTGGAGGTGACAGGAAACCAATATAGGAAACAGCCTCAAAACACAGGCAGATCATCAACTGGAAATAAAATTGGAATATGCATGCTTAGGAAATATTGAATAGGAAGATAAGCAGTCCAATATAATTGCAGAAATCTTCCTAACAGATCTAAGCCCCATTGTTAGAAGTAGATGTTGCAGGGCATAAATGGACAGCAATGTTGGGCAGAAAGTATGTCTTCTGAATAGAATGACATTTGCAAAGAATCAGAGCTTTGGAAATAGAAGTCATATACTGGAGGTAGAAGGCAAGTTGTGGCTTGAGCAGAAACTAGATGTGAAAACAAGAGAAATGGGCTGTTAACTGCATGGGACAGAGAATGCAGGGAGAAGGAAGGAGAGAATGGGGTGGGCTGTTGAGATAAACAGGGGTAGTAAAAATCACCACATGGATTTCAAAAATAAGCTCAAGAATTCACATTTGCTCCTGTTATCAATTTTTAGGTAGGGATTCTTAAGGTAAAAACGGAGTTTGGCAATGAAATGTAGACTAGTCAGGGAGCAAGTGGAATCTGGAAAGCCAACCAGGAGGCTGCCACAGTAACAGGTAATAGGCCATGAGCATCTCCACAATAATAGTGAGGAAGGGTTGATTCAAACTACTGCAGATAAGAAAAGTATAAGAACCTGATGGAGGATCTGATCACAGAGGAGAAAGGCAGAGAAGAAAACAGTATAAAATAACCTAGGGGTTGCAAATCTGGAAAGTTGGAAACTACCCTTGACAGTGATTGAGTAGGGATAAACTTAGATTTACTTGTCCCATTTTAGCTGACAGTGGTGGGTCTGAGCCAAATGAAAATAGACTAGAGAAAAGATTAGAAACCAGGAAAGATTTAGCAGCAAATGGCAAAATGAAATGTAAAAGCTATAGGATGTGGCTTCAAGCCTAATCTAAGTAGCTAAAAGAAAGAAAACAAATTACCAAAGAAAAATCATACAATAGCTCTCTTCATCAAATGCCCTTTTTAAGTGTAGATTTCATGATTGGTATTGACACAAAATGTTTACATAGCATGGCCTTCTCAGAAGTTCAATTTAGTACATTTAGACAATGGAGTTTTTAAAAGGACTTTTAAGTTAAATAGTGTCTTTAAGTACTTATAATCCAGTCAGAATGTTGAAGCATTGTAGACACATATAGTATCTGTTACTAGTTAGCAGGAAGGTAAGATGGCAAAGCAATTAGGCAAGTCAGTATCAAGTATGGGAGCAGAAGATTAATACCCTGAAATGAAGGGAAGGGATGGGGAGGGGAATAGGAAAGACGTAGAATTAATTGAACATAACTTTTCTAGCCTTGTATTTGAATACATGACCAGGGTAACTCTGTATCATATTCAACCACAAGAGTGGGATCCTAAATAGAATAAGTTATACTCTATGTATGTATAATTTGCCAAAATAC